GATTTACCTTTGAGAATGGCCTTGGCGAAAATGGTGTCTCAGCAACACGATTGGAGAGTACACTAGCCAAACTGTTGGACCGAGCTGATGACAATGATCACTTGGTATATCAAGACATTCTCGACACCAAGAATGAGATTTGTGCAGAGGAAGGAGTCATTATTTCCGCTCCTGGGTTGATAGAAGCACAGCTCATTTTTGCTTATCTTGGAGGAGTTGAACGAGGGTATGTGGAATATGATGATGTTGCAGGCTTCCTGGCAGTTGACAGCAAAATGCCCCAAACCAAAGCAGCAAAGCCAATTTCTGCTCCCTATCTCTTGCTGGTGAACGCAAACTAGCTCTGCCCGTCGCCTGAAATAGGCTCAATGTTTGCTAAAGATTGGCCGCCGTATGGTACGCTGTACCTCGTAGAGATCCAACCTAAGTATTGCTAGCTAGCTACCGGGCTATCGCTCGCTGCCTCTAAAAACTCCCATGCACCTTTTAATACCGTAGACTACTAGTAGCTGATCTGTTCATCCATTCAGAAGAACCAAATAGTTGAAGGCTTGTTCCTGTTGTGCGGTATGCAAGATTCAATACATGTACGTAGGCCTCAAATGGTAACCCGGGAGTTGGCGAGACAGACGTAAGATTGCTGTCTCCAGCCTGTCAAAGCGAATGGCCCGATCGTAGTGGCTAGGGCAGCGTACCCGTGAGCTAGCGCAGGAATGGGGTCGCTGTGAATGCGACAACTGTTTTTCTTTCTGTTGCAAGGCGGGACGAGAACGAAGTTGTAGCACGGAGCTCCAATTAGCCAGCTACACGAGTAGCTGAGTCCAGCTACAAAGTATGAGAAAGGAACAAACAATAGATAAAAGGTAACACGATAACTGAATCACTAATAAGAATCCGGACCAATAATAAACTGAAATCAAAGTAGCCAATCCGAGGAGTTGGTGCCGCCTGAAACATGACTCTACTAGTAGTAGCAGCGCAATCATTATCAGTGATTGCCTTTCTCAGCCGTATGCAAGGTCCAAACACCTTTGCATACAACGTCATAGATGCATACTGCAAATTGTTGTTTCCTCCAAGCTCCAACCCCAGAATCCGACTTCCATTCTTCCCGTTTAGTGAAGAATCCCGGATTCCCAGCCCATCAGTCCAAACAAACGTACTTTTCCACCGAAAAGTACCTGTACATATAGTAGTAGTAAGGGTAGTACAAGGAACTCACAACTCATCCTTGCCTCCCTTTTTCTTCTTGGCGACCTTGACAGCCTTCATGAGTCCCAATCCGGATTCCTTGATGGCATCGAGGGTATCATCCTTCTTCTTCATACCCTCCTGGTACGACTCCTGGAGTCCTTCGACAAAAGTCTTGAATTCAGCTTCGGCATCGGCCATTTCCTTTTCCTTGCCTTCGACGAGTTTATCGAGATCGTCATCGGACATGTCCATGAATTTTTTGATTTCGGCCTTCTTGTCGTCATCACAAAGATCCAAATTGGCAGGAGAGCACATGGGCACCAACTTGTCCTTGACAAAAGTCTTCAACGTCTTGAGATCGCGTCCACCCTGGTAGTCTTCCAAGGCAGCCGGATCACCCCACTTGAGGGTGGGGTATCCACGCACGCCATTGGCATCGCAGAGAGGTTTGCCCTCCGCGGTGCAGTCCACGTCCGCCACCAGTTGGGTCGTCGAGTCATTAAACTCGTCCATGAGCTTGTCCCAATCGGGCTTGAGTTTCTTGCAGTGGCCGCACCTAACAACATAATCAAAAAAGAGGATCCGATTAGAAACACCAGGACAGACGCCTCTCCAGCCACTAACTGGTACCCTGGTATCTACTTTAGCTATGGACGTACCAAGGAGCAAAAAACTTGAGGAACACGGTCTTTCCAGCCGTCATCTCGTCATAGTTGTCAGCCGTCAACTCAATGGCAGAGGCGGATGCCAGCAGGCTCAAGGCATAGAGAGAGAACTTCATGGTGGAGCACACTTGATTTTAATACTCAGGAGTTTTGAGTTTGTGGTGGTGAGGACGTGAGGGCACGATCGATAATGTGAACAAATCTTTCTCACAAGCGATCTCTCACATCCAAGCGAACTCCAAGGATCTGGATCGAATGGCCAATGCGATGGTCATCAATCTTTCGTTCCAAATGACTGCCGTATCTTCTGGAAGACAGATTTACAAAGGTAGGTAGGGTAAATATAAGGTTAAAGACATGTTCTACTCTGAAGCTTTCTATTGAAATAGTTGTTTTACCGCAGCTACCTCAATTCCAAAGCTGTCTTGCTGGCAGTCCTGCGTGGAACATTCCTTGGGTCGCGACTGTGCAAGTTTCAGTGCGAAGCTCCGGGTTCCAAAAACTGCTTTGGTTTTTGGATATGTAGATGCGGTAATGTTTCATCAAAAATAGTTTTAAACAATATTAGCAATTACAAGCTTCAACCCCGTATGTTTACCTTAACTACCCATTTTTAGCTTGATTCAATCGAATCGCCACGTGCCAGTTTGTGAGGTCCAGGCGATGCCCATGGGACAGCTGCTGGTCTGAGTGATGGGCTTGATGGCTGGGTTAGTAGTAGGTGCACGTCCAGGACTTGGTCAGGACGGTCCAGGAATTGGTCTGGGAGATGGCGTTGATATTGTCCAGGAGTGAGTCTGGGGCGGTCCAGTTTTTGGACCAGGAGTGTCGCCTGGGTCTTGATGTCCAGGTGCGTACGGTAAGTCCAGGAGTGGAGGTTAGTCTAGTGCGGGTGCGGAGCCTCCAATACCGATACTGGCTGGTCGGACCAGGTGTAAGGTAGCTTATGGGGCGGGCTTGCATGTCCTGGCCATGGGTTGGGTGCTGGTGACAAGCACGGCTTAAGTCCAGGATTCGGGCCTGATGTTGGTCCAGATGTGTTGTTCCGGGCACGGGCAAGTGAACACTTCCTTCCAGTTATAGAATTCTGCAAACGAGACATCGAAAGCTTGGTTCCTCTGGATATTCTTCCAGTAGTGTTCCTTCCATCGATGATTTGCCTGCTTGCTGACAGATACAAACGAAGACCTGCTGAACTATACATGTACTAGTACCGTAGCAAAAGACGAAGAATGCTGCTAACACGAAGCTCCCTCTGCTCCACGGAATTTGTTGGATGAAGAGAACGCACGAGCAACAACGCAACGATCAGATCTGGGTTTCTACGGGTGGATGTTTTAGTCTTTTACTACTCAATTGATGACTTCTGTGTTTGTATATTCTAGAAACCTCGTGAACCCGACACCGGCACTGGCACATGGGTTATTACTATGGGGCATCCTTGATGTCACGTAACCACCGAATCACTTTATCGTGACCCCCTGCCTGAGCCTCATCAGCGCACCAAATATCGATCCATCGCTGATCCTCTTGCTTCTTCGAATGCAGCCATTTCAATACTGCAAGCTGTCCACCTAGAGCAGCAAATTGCCATACATATTCATTCAAAGGGCATCCCTTTTCTTCATGCAACCATTTTAGAACATGCAAATGCCCGTGTTGGGCAGCAGCAGTACAGATCCAGCGATTCGAGTCGCCCCCCAATGAGAATCCATTCGCAAGAGCCCATTGAAGAACAGCGATACTTCCAGCCCCGGCAACGGCTCTACAAACCTCAGGTGACAGTGGGGTTTTGTCTTCTGCGTTGTCTCTCTTCCAAATTTCTGCACATGCCAGATTGTGGAACGCCGCAGAGTAGAAGGTAACTTTGGTTGTTGCAGGAAATTCAACACTCCCTGGATGAATGCAGACCATGGGAGGATTTTTCTGTTTCTTACAAAACTTTTTTTGTAAAGCCGACTGATGCGTTTGCTGACAGGAGCCACAAAAGCATAGTGTCCCATTCCCAAGAAGGAAAAGATGCCTTCAATCCAAAGCTCCTTTTGGTTCAGAAGCACCGAGAAGGCCTCCTTGCGTCTGGCGTTTCGTTCCTCGTGTGTTTTCTTGACTGCGTGATCCATTTCTTCCAACTGCTGGTTCAGCTCATTATAGTCGCTTTCTCGCTCAAAGCGTTCGGGGAGATTATAGCGAAAGAATTGAGCTGGAGAAACCACATGCTCGGTCATCTCCGCTGCCATTTCCTTGCGGCATTGGTCCGCCCGTTGATGGTCGCCAGCTTGTTCCATTTGTGCAAGGGCATCCTTGCAATCCAGGAGGGCGCTCTTGTACTTGTCCAATGCAGCGCGGGCGAGGACGGATGGATCAATCATCGATGCCTTGTTGGAATATTCAGCTGGAGGCGTGTGGATGGTCTCGGCGGAATCCTCCTGGTGCTGTTCTTCCGCTTGGCGATTGCCGTCTTCGACAAAGTCAGGCGACAGCTTTGGCTTCTTGCGATTGGGCTCTTCGATGGACGACATGGTAAAGTTGGCTTGTGACGAGCAGGTGCCTTCTGAGGCTATCGTATCCACTAGTCTAGCTACATGTACTAGTAGCAGCGTGGGTGTGAATGAGGTCGGCAAGGGTGAGGAGTGGAAGTGCTGGTCCGAATTTAAAATTTTGTGCCCTTTATGGTGTTTCGTGCTTCGTGCTGCCTGTTGTTGTGTTATGGAGTTGGGTTTGGGTTACCAATGCGTCTTACAAAAGAATTAACCGTATGTCAAGCAAGGCTGAAAACCATTATGTCTATATTCCACCTTCGTGGCTCATGGGGTTGAATTGTTAATTAAATTGGTACCAGTAGCCTCTTTTCCTACAGAGCAAGCCTAACTATTAATAATGTACAGTAGTACTACACTTATCATAAGTTTATTCTCATATTTTTTATTTAGATTTTTCTGAATCCTAGTTCACTTTTCAGCCAGCACATCCAAAACTGAGAAACTCAACAACGCTCCCCCATTTTGTTCCCTCAGAGCTATTAGTCTATTATAGTCTAGTTTCATAGTTTGTTTCAATATTCTTCTAGTTACCACAGGAGGTCACCATGGCCAGATCCATAAAGACTGAATCGGATGGTTCGTCCACAGTGTCGGAACCTGACAATGACCTTGTTTAGTCCAAGAAGAAGTCCTCCAAGGGTCCCCCATCCAGTGACGATGAGAATAATGGTGGTGGCAAGGTTGGTCAGTCCAAAGAAGGTTTTCATCCAGAAGCCCAGTCAGATGATGAAAATGAGCCAGTGGCACAAGTAGTAGTTAAAATTGAGGAGGCAGAAGTCAAAGCCGAAGCAGATACAGAAGAGGTCTCCAGGAAGAAACCAGTCAAGAGAAGCCGTACTCCCAAGAAAACAGTTTTGACGTCCTCCCAAGAGACTCCTCCCAAGAAGACATCGGGCAAACGCAAGGCTGATGACCAGTATGAGGAGTATGAATCTGAATCTAACGACGACGAAACTCCCGTCAAGACTCCTGACAAGAAGCGATCACGCAATACTCCCAGTGCCGGCCAAGATCGACGCATGTCCCCAAGAATCATTGTTGCCAAGAAGAAGGCTCCTCCTAGCGCCGTATCTCAAGAGATGATTGAAGCGAACCAGAGGGCTACTGCCAAGGCTAATCAGAAGAGGCAGGCAGCGTTGGCTCAGAAGAAGAAGAAGAAGCAACAGAAGATTGTAAAACCAAAGGCTGGACCTCAGAAAAAGCAGTTGCCCACGTTTATCAACAACAAGAAGAAGGGTCGTGGCAAGAAGAAGGCTCAAAATTCGGATTCAAAGTCGGAATCGGAAGAAGAGGAAGCGACCACCAAGCGCGGTGGAGGCAGAAACCCCAAGGTTGAGTCGACGGAAGATGAACATGTGCGATTTCAGCTGGATATGTTTTACAACAATCCCACGTTGCATCCTTCCATTCGACAGCTTAGGGAAGTGGGTCGCCAAGGTGCTTTGATGAGCAACTCGAATGACTTTACCGAATGGTCTTGTCATCATATGCAACGTCACTTTGTGGATTCTATGCCTATAGCAGTGAAGGCTCCAGACAACTACAATGGACCCGGCCGCAATTGCATCCATATTGGGCAACCGACGAGGAAGAAGAACAACAAGAAATTCAAGGCAGATCCAACAGCTCCGGGTGATGGACTTCAAGTTAGGCTTTGGAACATGGGTTTGGCAGCTTACCATGAATTGAAGTTCATTCAAAGACATCAAGAAAGGAGCTGGTAGCCGTAATCCTTTTCCCAAGTGCAAAAATCGTGATTGTTTCAATTTCAAAGAGCATTGGACTACTAGAGAAGAGAACATTGGATCACTACCTGGGAA